CATGGTGCCCACCACTGCCAGGATGTTCTTCCTCGGCCAGATGGGAGACATCTCCCTCTCTGCTGCACAGTCGGTGTGTGTGGGTGGGGGGGAGCGAGGATTTGGGGAGAGCACGGGTGTGGGAACCCAGGACATCCCTCTGGCTGTCCAGAGTGGCCAAGAGCCCTGCCAGGGGGCCCAGAGAGCCTGGCACAGAGCCCAGAACACCTGTGGGTTTGATTATGACCCGTGGAGCAAATTGCCAACCTTAGATGAAGATCAGCAAGCCACAACAGTTTCGGTAGAATAATAGTGAAGTTATCACAGGGTGGAAAAGTAGATTTTGGGGTTTCTAGAATGGGGGTTCAGGAGGCAAGATGGAGGGATCTGGGCGTGTCCAGCCTTTCTCCTTCTTCTTCTTGGCCTCCATCTTCTGCTGAGATGTTGGCACTTTTAGACTGGTTTAGAGTAGAAGCTCACTGTCTGACATAGGTGATAGGTATTGGAAAGTAATTGTAAACATTGTATACGTAGTTTTTAGTATAAAGACATAACACCGCCCTGGGGGCAGGCAGAGTGCCTGGAACTGTCCTGTTGGACAGACCTCAGCAGGACAGGAGAAAAATTTTTATGATAAGACGCAGTAAACAACCTTGAGAGTGAGAAATGAAGAGCTCCAACTCATTCTTCAAGCACCGGGCTGGGAAAAGAGACTTTTAACATCTCTCGGGGTCACAGCGACCAGCAAAAGATCCCGAGACATGGGGATGTGTGTCTGTCTGCTCTGTGCTGAAATCCCTGTCTCTTCCTCAGGCCCTTTTCCTAGGGATTGGCCTGCAGCATAAATCTCTGGACCAGCTGGAAAAGGAGCTGGAACTGCCCAGCAGTCAATTGATGGGGCTCTTCAACAGGATCATCCGCAAAGTGGTGCAGGTGGGACCATAATTCCAAAATTAACAGAAAATATGACACTAAGAGAGAGCTGGGTCAGTGCTGGGCATCCTTAACACATCCCCACTTACTGGCCATAAACTTCTTGGCAAGGTGGGGAAAATCCCAGGTGGAAAATGTGTGGCAGTGATTTAAATGCCCATGGTAGGGAATTTGGAACTGGATGATCTTTAAGGTCCCTTCCAACCCAAACCACTTAATGATTCTGTGTAGTGATTTCCCAGATAAGAATGCTTATCTTATGGTTTTCCATATTCAAGTGCCCTGACCAGAATGCTGAGCAGACAATCCTTGTTGCCTGAGCCATTGTTCAGAGCATTGGTGGCATCTCAGCTTTCCTTGGAAAAAAACAAAATTATTTCCCAGTGTTATTTAGAGGTAGACCTGAAATCCACTGAAATAATTGTCAAGTTTTGGATCTGGTTCCTGGTTTTCTTTTTCTCTAAGGTTTAGGATAGCAAAGCTGAAGCCTGGATTTAGGAGTTCATTGTAGAGGTGATAAATGGTGTTTTAAAAACCAAGTCTTACATGTGCTGGCTTGTTTCATTTTCAGCTCTTCAACACAGTCCAGGAAAAAGCTGTAGAGGAGCAGATGGCAGCAACAAAGGATGTTGTGATGGAGCCAACGCTGAAATCTTTAAATGATGATTTGGTAATTACAAACTTTATTCCTGGTTCATATGTAAACACTTCAGGGAGTTCACCTGAGGGCAGAAACATTAAATTTTCTTGTATGGAAAGGGTTCCACACCACATCTGGCACTGTAAGGGAGTTAAAACCTGACAGGTTTGCATTATGTGCAGCTGGAGTTGTGCTTTAAGCTGCAGTGTGGGGTTTTCACAGAAAATTACAAGTTTGTGTGTACAAATAACATAAAAATACAATTAGATAAAAGAAAGAAGCTAGTCAGAACCAGCTGATATTTGTTTTAGGGGATGTATTTGTGGGAAAAGGCATTTTCCTCTCATTACAAAGTCAGTGTTGCCCTCAGGAACTAAAGCATCTTGTGCTGTCCTGTTGCAGGAGGAGGCTGCAAAGGAATTCCAAGAAAAGCACAAGCAGGAGGTGATGAAGCTGAGGGAGATGGACCTTACACAGTAAGAATTCATCTGCCTGGGTCTCAAATCCAGTTTTTCCCTGGGTCTTGCTGGGATTTGTGCACAAGGCTGTAGGTGCAGTAAGCCATCAGTAAACGAGAACCAGTGTGTATTGTCAACAGTGGGTGAAACATAAAAAAAACCCAAATCAACTCAAAAAGGGCAAGCAACCAGAGCTTTTACTTAAGTGTCAGCAGATTTCTGTCTTTCTGGAGCAACAGGAGTTACAGATGCCACTGATTCTCTTCCCTCTCCCCTCCCACTTTTTGTCTTATGAACACTGCTCACTGTGCTGATGTCCCAGGGAAGTTGTCTGGCTTGGCTCTAAATTGGTCTCTGGTAATTCTGGTGAAAGGAATTATAGAATCTTTGGTTGTCATGTTTGGGGAAAGGACAAGAATGGATGTGATTTGAAGTGACTTGCAAGTCAGTCACATAAGGAAAATAATACAACCAGAATGTTTTCAAATTAATTCTATTTTATAGCATTGATAGTGCTGCATACCTTTTTGTCATTTTGGACTGTGTTTCTTTTTTTTTATCCTCAGCCAGAAATAGATTTTTGTTCTCCACGAGGAGAGAGAGACAAAAATCTATTTTGAATACTTTTCAATGCAGGTTGTAGAAAACTTGTGGGGCTTTATCCAACATTGTTCAGCTTTGTGGACAAAGCCTCATCTATTCCAAACCTCCAAGAGCTTGAGATGGAGAGCAGTTGCTCCATTTTGCTACACAACTGCTTTGCCTCTTTAAATCTGGGTGGAATTTCCAGGGTGCTCGAACATCCAGAAATGGGCCACAGGACATGAGCTTATTTGAGTAGCAATTTTTGTTTTTATTTCTCTTTTTAAAAGCTCTTCACTTTTTCCCAGACTGATTTAGGAAAGCTGTCCCATTCCAGCTTTTCCAGCCTGACTTGGTGTGTGTTTCCCAAATCAGATTTGCTTGGGTGCTGGCACAGTAGCCTTGTTTGCAGAGTAGTGTGTGCCTGACAGTAGAAACACCTCTTTTATATGTTGTTTTCCTCTGTGCTAACAATTTGACCTGACCTTCCTTCCCCTTTCCCACTTAGGTACATTATCAGGGGGGATGATGAGGAGTGGAACGAGGTGCTGAGCAAGGCAGGACAGAACGCTTCCGTCGTCAGCCTGAAAAGGTAAAGGAACTTGAAATATTCCAGAGATCTCTCCTCTTCCTGCTGGCTTTGTTAAATGTTTTCCAAAAGAGTGAAGCCTAGGGGTTAAAAGTGAACTCAGTGTCCTGGCTAGATCCTCAGTTTTCCTGGGGGAATTGGGGTGTGAGCAGCTTTGAGCTCCACTACCCAGTGTTTGTGTTGCTCTAAGGATGGTCCTCTCTTCATTAACTTGTTTAATTCTGACTTTATTGCTGATGATCTGATCCTGATCCCACACAGAAGCTGGGACTTTTCGTCCCTTAGGTCACTCATTCCACCTGACTGCCCAATTTGCTTTGGGATCTAACACTGAGTGGGAGCACCTGGAGGTGCCAGTGGAGAAAATGCAAATTCAGGAAAGAATTCTTTCAAATGTGAGCTTTAGCCTGGAAAAATGTCTGTATTTCTGCAGTTCCTTAATTCTCATCCATCTTCTTTCTTCTGCCATGCCCAGCATGTAATTTTCCCAAATTTTTCCTTGGGGATTTATAGCTGAGACTACCCTGCTCATTTATTTCCCCTTCCTGGAGTGCCTGACAGCTCAAGTAATTATGTGATCTCTGTTCCACCTTTTCATGGTCTTTTCTATGAATTCTAGAAGTTCTAAGTTTCCAAAAGCCTTCCAGGAAGGAGAGAGTCTTAGCAGTTGCTGTAAGATACAAATCAGAGCTTGGAATTCTGTTGTGTTGGCTTGAGTCAGAATCCAGTGCAGGGACAAAATTGAATGTTTAAAACAATCAGTAGTTTCTCTTCTAGGTACTCTAAAATCCAGATACCCCATTTAGGAGAGATAAAGTTTTGAAAAGCAAAGACAAGAGCTAAAAATCAAGATCTTCTGGGTTAGAGAATCTCAGGACACTATAAAATCTAAGTCAGGCTCTTCTTTGTGCTTTTTCTAGCACCATGTTTAAATTTTCTCCCTCACTCTTACATTACAACAAAAATTTCCCTGCAGGATGGCAATCCAATGTATTTTTAACAGATGTTTTCTTCCTGTTTTCCAGTGAGAAGAAAAGAAAACTAGAAACAGCACGAGGACCCAAGCAACAGAAGAAGTTTAAGAAAACTAAAGATCTAAAGCAGAAGAGGAAAAAATGACTTCTAAGCCAATCAATGAACTTGAATGAACAAGTGCTGGGTCTGTACTTAAAAAGCCCTGTTCTCCTCTAAACCAAGAGACTATTTTGGAGGGAAGAAAAATCCTTAGAGGCATTTTTCAAGTGTTTGTATTGTGGGAAGAGCAGCGCTCAAGTGTTTGTGTGAAGATTTTTATATGAAGGGTGACTGCAGAGGGTGACTGAGCAACTGGAATGCACTGGAATGATGAAGGTGCTTGAGCAGCTCCAAAATTCCCATTCCAAGAGGGCAGATCTGTAAACTTCCTGCATCTTAATGGTTCTGTGGTTCATTAAACAAGAGTTTGGACAACAAAGGACAGAAATGTTACTCTGCTTTAGCACTGCAACTCACCTTGACCTCTGCAGCTGCTGGTTCTGGTGGTCCTTTGGAGCTTGAGGGGGCTTTTATGTGCTTTGTATTTGGGGCTGGCTGGTCACTGCACACTCACTCTGCCTCCCTGCTGGTCTGAGCTGCCCCTTGGCTGTGGTGGAAAGCTTTGTGTTCAGGTTGGCAGAAATCAGCACTATTGTACCAAAACCTGCTTGTGGGATCTCCTCTTTGACCTCAGGGGCCAGTTGAGCAGCCAAGTACTGAATTCCCATCAGCTTGGCAATAACTGTGCCAGTCTGGAGCTGGGACTGGCTGTGACTCTGGGTCTGCTGCCTTTCAGACTCCAGAGGCTTCAAACCCAGGCCAGAGCTTTGCCATAGAGTATCCCAATCCTGAGAGCCCTGGTGTATTGCCTTGATATCCTTCTGACTTTTTGCTGTGGGGGTTTGGAACAGAGCCCTCCCTGCAGCTGAGGCACAGCTGTGTTGTATTTACCTGCCGATCTCACAGCTCCTTTTCCTGGCAAATCCTGAGGTAAGGGCGGCTTTTCTTCTCAGGAAAACTACCAAAAAGAAACAGGGGCAGGGAATGATTTTGAATTCCTGGCTTTCCTTTTTTGACAGTAGTTTATTATTATTTTGGGGCCTAAGCTTAAAAAACCTGGAGTGTGTGATTGTTCCCAAGTGTCACACTTCCAGACTAGGATCTGATGGGGTGGTGACAGTCAAACCATGGAAGGGGGTGGGTTGGAAGGGACCTTAAAGCTCATCCCATTCCAACCCCCAGCCAGGAGCAGAGACATTTTCCACTATCCCAGGTTGCTCTAAGCCCTGTCCAACCTGGCCCGGGACACTTCCAGGGATGGGGCAGCCACAGCTGAGTAACAGGTACCACTTGACTCCATTTCTATGTCTGACTCCATTTCCCTTCCCAGCTGGCAGCAGATGAGTGGGAACACTGCACCAAAACCTGTTGGAATTCCAGCTTCCAGCTCTGCGTGGAGCACTACATCCAGATGTGAACACTCACCAGAACAATTCTGCCATGGACCGAGGGAACCCTCAGGACTTGTCTTGCTCGTTTCTCCCTGGAAAGAGACATGGCACAAGCACCTTCACAGCTATTGGAAAAATCCTGGAAAGGGCAGGAAATCAGGGTTATTTGGAAGTGTTTTGTGCTGTCACACATCAGTTCACCAGTGTTGCTCCATAGCCCAGTGCCAGCTGTAGAGCTCTGCCCCACAGATGTTCCAAGATCTGGCATTTAAAGCAGCATTAGCATAAAAGGAGCTGCATTGGCATAGGAATTACCTTGTTGGTATTTCCAATTCCCAGCCTGGAATTCCAGATGACCCAGAGATCAGCTCAGCTGTTTTGAGCAGGGTGCTGCAAACACCAAAGGTTGTGGGTTCAGTCACTGGATGGGCCATTCACTTAGAGGTCAACTTCATAATCCTTGTGGGTCCCTTCTATCTCATGATATCCTGTGACCTGGAAACACAGATTAAACATCTCAACTAGACTTTTACAAACGGAGATTTTGCCATTGGAGACTGTGAGTTGCACAGATCTCGGGGGAAGAGGGAGGAAGGCATCAGGTCTCACCTGGCAGGTGTTGAATGAGCAGCTGGAGCAGGACAGTGCCTATCCTGGAGCAGCTGCTCCTGCCCGTGGCTCTGCAGCTCCACTCATGTCCCAGGGATGTGGTGGGCGCAGGACGGGAGGCGGGCCCTGCTCTGCTCAGGGGGTGCCGGAGCAGCGGTGCCGCGGGTCCCGCTGTGCAGGACTGGCCTCACACCCCCGGGGAGAGAGGCTCCGAGGCGGGTCCTACACACCGGGACCGGCGGCCTCGGGGGGTCCCCTCTCCCCGGCCGCTTCCAGCCGCAATCCAGCGCCTGCTCCGGGAATGCGCCGCTCTCCTGCCGGGCCCGGCACCGGCACAGCCCCGGCTCCCCACGGCAGCAGCAGGGCCTGCCCGGAGCCGCAGCGGGAGCAGCCCCGGTCCAAGCGGGAGCGGCAGCGCCGGGCTCGGTCCGTGCCCATCCCGGAGCGGCTCTTTCTGCCCGCGGCGATCCCGATCCCAGCCCCAATCCTGCCTCGGTGCTGCGGCCCCGCGAGGGAGAAGCGGCTCAGCCCGGGACCCCCAGCAGACACCGGCAGGACCCGGACCCGAATCCCCAGGCCCGGGTCCTGTTCCCGGCCCCACCTCAGCGCCTCGAGCCCCGCGCAGCACCGGGAACAGCCCCCGGTCCGGGGCTCCGCACAGCGCTCCAGCGACAGCCCTGCCGCATCCCGGGATGAGCATCCATCACACAAAGCGGAGCGGGTGCGGATCCGCCGGGATTTACGGGCGCGGGCGGGGCGGGGCGGAGCCGGCTCAGGTGTGAGGGGCGGGGCCGGCTCAGGTGTGAGGGGCGGGGCCGGCTCAGGTGCGCGGGGCTCCAGCGCGGCTGCGCGGGGCGGGGCCGAGAGGATTTAACCCCCGGGAATCGCCGCTGGCGCCATTTGCCCCCTCGGCGCTCGGAGGGGAAGGTTCTGTCCGCGCGGGCTCCATATGTTTTTATTTGTTTCTTTTCTTTTACGCTTTTTTTAACCTCTTTTTCTCAATACCTTTCCTCTCTCCCTCCCTTCCTCCCCTCCCCCACCCCCTACACCCTCCCCCCCCCTTACCCCCCCCCCTCCCTCTCCCCCCTAGCCCTCCCCTCCCTCCCCCCCAAACCGCTCCCTCCCGGGCCGGTCCCCCCTACCCTTCCTATGCCCCTGCACACCCCAACCCGACTCTACCCCTCCTTCCTCCACGCTTCCTTTCCTCCCCAGCACGGCTCCCACCTGCCCTCTCATCCTCCTTCCCTTCCCCCCAGTTCCTCCCCACCTGCCCTGATTCTTCACCCTCCTTCCTTCAGCCTTCTTTCCCCTCTACATTCCCCTATTCCTCCTTTTCCCCTGTGCACCTTGACCCCCCCACCTGTGCTCCATCCTCTGCCCGTCCTGCCCCCGCCATCCCACCTGCCCCTGCTCCCCTGCACATCCCGACCCCCCCACCTGCTCTCCATCCTTGACGCACCCCGACCACCCCCTGTGTTCCCCTGTTCCCATCCTCTGTCCCCCCCTGCCTCTTTCCCCCGCAGCCGCGGGGCTCGGGGCGCCGCAGAATAAAGCCCAGAGGGCCGGAGCGGCGCCCCCGCTGTCCCTGGAGCCCCCACACGGGGCCGGAGCCGCTGGGCGGGTCCCCCCATTGCAGTGCAAAGCACGGCCCGACACCGCCGGGGTTCCGGCTGTCCCTACATCACACTGGGGGTCCCCGGGGCGGGGGGTTGGGGGGGGCGGTGGGTCAGGGAGGGCCCCCTCCTCAGGAGGGGGTCCGAGGGGGGAGGGGGGATGGGGAGGGGGGGTAGGGCCCCCTCCGGAGGAGGGGGTCCCTGGGAGGGGGGCGGGGCGGGCCCCCTCCAGAGGAGGGGGTCCGGGGGAGGGGGCGGGGCCGGAGGGGGAATTCCCCCCTCCAGGTCCCGCCGTCTCCTCCGGGCCGTCTCCTCCGGACGGGGCTCGGCCCGGCCCCCTCCCAGGGACCCCCTCCTCCGGACAGGGGCCCGGGGGGAGGGAGGGGGGCGGGTGGGGTGGGCAGAGTGGGAGGGGCCGTTTGTCTGTCCGGTGATGTCTTTGTGTGTTCACGCTGCAGAGTGACGTGACCCCCTCTGCTTCCCCCCCACCCCGCCCGCCCGCCCCCCTCCCCCCGGGCCCCTGTCCGGAGGAGGGGGTCCCGGGGAGGGGGCCGGGCCGAGCCCCGTCCGGAGGAGACGGCCCGGAGGAGACGGCGGGACCTGGAGGGGGAATTCCCCCCTCCGGCCCCGCCCCCTCCCCCGGACCCCCTCCTCCGGAGGGGACCCGCCCCGCCCCCCTCCCAGGGACCCCCTCCTCCGGAGGGGGCCCTACCCCCCCCATCCCCCCCCCCCCATCCCCCCTCCCCCCTCGGACCCCCTCCTGAGGAGGGGGCCCTCCCTAACCCACCGCCCCCCCAACCCCCCCGCCCCGGGGACCCCCAGTGTGATGTAGGGACAGCCGGAACCCCGGCGGTGTCGGGCCGTGCTTTGCACTGCAATGGGGGGACCCGCCCAGCGGCTCCGGCCCCGTGTGGGGGCTCCAGGGACAGCGGGGGCGCCGCTCCGGCCCTCTGGGCTTTATTCTGCGGCGCCCCGAGCCCCGCGGCGGCGGGGGAAAGAGGCAGGGGGGACAGAGGATGGGAACAGGGGGAAAGAGGATGGGAACAGGGGGACAGAGGATGGGAACAGGGGGACAGAGGACGGGAACAGGGGAACAGAGGATGGGAACAGGGGGACAGAGGATGGGAACAGGGGGACAGAGGACGGGAACAGGGGAACAGAGGACGGGAACAGGGGGACAGAGGACGGGAACAGGGGGACAGAGGACGGGAACAGGGGAACAGGGGAACAGAGGATGGGAACAGGGGGACAGAGGACGGGAGTAGGGGGACAGAGGAGGGGAATAGGGAGGGATGAGGCGGGGAACGGAGAGGGGTTGGGGAGAAGGGGGGGGGAAGGGAAAGGCCGGGTGGGGGGAGAGATGATGGACAGAGGAGGGGTACAGGGGGAAGAGAGGGGGGTCGGGCTGGGGAGAGGGGTGAAAGGAACGGGGGGTCGGGGATGTGCAGGAGAACAGCGAGAGAGGGCAGGGGAGGCTGGGGAGCGGGGAGAGGGCAGGGGGGGCTGGAAGGGAGAGGAGGGATGGGGGGGAGGGAGAAAGAAACTGGAGGGATAGAAAAGAGGAGAGAAGGGGGGGAAGAAGGAGGAGGATAAGGGCAGAAGAAAGAGGAGAAAGAAAAAGGGAAATCGCCGCCGGGAGAGCCCAGCGCGGCAGCAGCCTCACCGTGCTCCGGATGAGCAAATGGCGCCGGCAGAGATTTCCGGGGATTAAATCACCTCGGCCCCGCCCCGCGCAGCCGCGCTGGGGCCTCGCACACCTGAGCCGGGCCCGCCCTGCGCACCTGAGCCGGGCCCGGCCCCGCCCGGCCCCGCCCGGCCCCGCCCCTGAGCCTGGGACCGCCCCTGAGCCCCGGCACCGCCCCTGAGCCCCGGGACCGCCCCTGAGCCCCGGCACCGCCCCTGAGCCACGGCACCGCCCCTGAGCCCCGGCACCGCCCCTGAGCCCCGGGGCCCCGCCCTGCCCGGGATGGCGGCGGCACCGTCGCTGCCGGACCCGCCCCTCTCACCTGGGCCGGGCCGGGGCTGCGAGCGCACCGGGACCGGGGCCGCGGCTCCGGGTCCCGCCGGTGTCTCTGGGGGTCCGGGCGGTGCCGCCTCTCCCCCGCCGGGCGCGCTGCGGGTCCCGGCCCCGCAGCACTGAGGGGGCTTGGGGCCGGCTCCGGCTCCGGCAGGAGCCGCTCCGGGACGGGCGCTGGGGCCGGGCCCGGGCAGCCCCCGGGATGCCGCGCTCAGCCCGACGCGCCGGGCCGGGCTCCGCGCTGAGCCCCGAACGCGGCCCCGGGGCTCCGCCGCCAGCCCCGCCCGCGGCGCTCGGCCGCTGCTCCGGAGCTCTGCCGCGGCCGGGGGAGCCCGGCTTTGGGCTGTGCCCGAGGCACGGCTCGGAGCCCAGAGACACGGACTGGCCCTGGCCGAAAGAGCCGCCTGGAGCACCAAAACGCGGCGTTTGGCCTTTCACTCAAGCCCCCGAAAATGCAGCACGTAAATCGCTCTTACGTGAAGCCCAAACACTGACCTACCCCGGTTTCAAGACCTCGCAAACACAGGTCATGGTCTCTGCTTCACGCCTCTAAAATGCAGAACTTGGTCTCTCTGAGATCCCAAATGCTGTCTGAGGCACATGGTTTCAAGCCCCCCAAACCAGTCCTTAGTGTCTCTTTCTGTACTTGGCCAAATGAGCCCAGTTTTGAGCCCCCAAATCGCAGTGCTGGGTGTCTCTCTGTGAGCCCCAAAACTGCTCCAGTCCGCAGCATTCGGAGCCCCCAGAAACGCCCCGGGCCATGGGCGGACCCAGCTGGGCCCCAGCAACAGCTCCCTGACCCCCAGTGGGATGGGGAAGAGACCAGAGACAAAAATCCAGCTCAGAACAGTTTAATAATGGAAACCAGTCAAATACAATAATTTAACATTAATGACAACACACAATAACAGTGAGAGCAACAAGAGCAGTGAGAATGATAATGAACAGGAGAGAGAGAAAAGCCCCTCCACACCCTCCTTTAACATTTTAAATCCAAAATGTAATCCAGAGCACCACAAACTCCCAGTGTGGGGGATTTCCATATTCCTGTTATTTTCTCTGTGTCCATCCTGGGGATTTGAGGCACTTGCTGCTCCTCTGGGCAAGGGAAAGGCTCCTGTGCTATTCCCAAAAACAGAACCCCTGGAATTAGTGCCCTGGGAGCCCAGTCTGGTCCTTCCAGTGACTGGGGGTCACCCAGAGGGTCTTTACCAGCATCAAGTGAAAATGACATCCTGGTCCAGTGCATTTCCAGCAGGATTGGGCACTCCTGGCCACGGTGACCAGTCCATGGAAGTTGGACTGGTGACAATCCAGGGGGATTTGAAGTTGGATTCTTGCAGATTTCATTGTGCAGAAGCTCCAATTCTCTTTGGCACCTCTTGTTTAAATGTTTTCCTGCTGGAAGAGGTCAATTAGTCTTTTGAATGGCCAGATTGCCAAAGGCAGTTGGGAAAACCAAGCAGCATTCCCTGCACATCTCCATCACTTCCACGTCCACCTGCAGCGAGTGGCTGAAGGACAGGAGCCAGCCCAGGACAGGCTCAGAGATGAGGCTTCCAGCCCAAACCATTCCAGGATGATTCCACCATCTCTCCCTGCATTAATTTTGTGTTGTTTCCTCTCAAATTTAAATTCCCAAATTTAGGTGATTTATTAAATGAACCATTTCAAAATTATTCAGATATATAAGAGGAAGCATCCAACACACAAGAATCATTCTTTCATCCATCAAATCATTATTAAATTGGAAGCTTATTCCCTCATCTCTGTCCTTGTTTAGCTTTCCTGCAAATCCTTATGGTCCCACAGTTTCTCAGAGACATCAGCTGGGATTACTGGAAGGTTTGCTCTGCTGTAGAGCCAAGGGGAGTTTACAGCATTTGTTCCTCTCCATCTTTGTCCCCTAATCAGGTTTCCCCCAGAATGGTGTTATGGGAGAAGTTTGGAATTACTAGAAATGGATCAGCTTCACAGTTTTCCCCCTCTGTTTTTCAACTATTTCAAAATTCTTGGAATTACTCTCAAATATGCCCAGGAAAATTCCTGTGAAAGGATCAATCGGAGGAAGATCATAATATAGATTCTCTACCGTAAATATATAATTCTCTCTCTATATATAAAATATATAATATACAATATATATTATATCATATATTATCTAATTATCATAAATATATATTTCTCTATCGTAAATAGAGAAAACTGCCTCAGCAGCAGCTGGAATGAATCCCATTGCTGCTCTTACCTGGTCTCCAGGTGCTCCTGCCAGAGCTCCCAACAGCCACTGCCATTCCTAAACAGGAGCCATGGAAGACGTTCCTGCTGTCCATGAGGGTGAGGAGGCACTTTGGGATGTTCTTGGCTGTGCAATCAGACAAGAGAGTGTCAATGATCTCGCGCTCCCTTCCAAGCCAAAGCAGCCCCTGATTCCATGGCATGATCAGCACCTCTCCCACTTCCATTCCAGAAACATCCTCCCACTCACCCAGGGCTTCCCCCTCCTCTTTTTTTGCACCACATCAGGGATGTGTGGCCAAGTGCCCCGGGCATGGGATGCCTCATTCCTGGGGATGCCTTTCCCTGGGGACGCATTTCCCTGGGGATGCCATTCAAGGCTGAACTTGTGGCCTCAGAGCTCTGCAATGACAGCACAGCCCCAATTCCAGTTGGGAATGTCTCAAACAGCAGGGTGGGGTGTTTGCTCCCTCTCCCACCCAGCCACTGGGACAGCTCACATGGAATGTCACTGAATTACTGGGTCTGAAATTCCTGGCTCAAAAGGCAGGTGATGGAATATCCTCTCCTGGGAAAATCCAGGATACCAGGAGGGTCCCTGGAAGTCACAGGTCAGAGGCAGAGTCAGATGAACAATCCTGAACTGGTTTTCAGGGGATGCATCCCCAGCCTGTGGGGACTCCAAAGCTGTTCCTTCCACTTGGGATAGCCAGGGAAAACATCCCCATCATGGATTTCTGACAGGAAAAACCTCACAGCTCCAGTATACTTGGCTCTTCCCAAATCCAGGCCAGCACTCCAACAGGCTCTAAGGAATAAACAACAGGAAAGACCATCTCAGGGTGCACACCACGAGCTGGGCACCACATTCTGCTGGAACTGGGCTGTTCCCACATCTCTGTGACAGCTGGGAGCATCTCCATTTCCTTACTCCTCTATTCAGGAGAAAGAGACATCAGAGCCCTTAAACAACCAGTGTGTAATCCCAACAACCCAGGGAAAACCACCTCACTCAGGGAAGAAATGTAATGCCCAGTTTTGGAAAAACCCAAATAGCAGAACTGGAAACACTCCAAGCATGGAGACTCTCAGCTCTGGAAATGCAGCTCCCAGGCTTCTTCCCATGGAAGCCCCAAACTTGCCCCTGACTGGGCTCAGGGAGAAAACCTCACCCATTTCACCAGCCTGGCACTGAGTAAATTCCATGTACACCCCAGGAGGGTGTCCCTGACCATGGCAGGGCAAGGAAACAGGATGATCTATAAGGTTCCTTCCCACCCAGACCATTCCAAGAGTTTAAGGCTACTTAAACTTGATTTGAGCCACTTCTCAGCTTACAACTCCTTCCCAAGCCTCATCCTCTGGGCTGCCTTTCCCAGACCTTGCTGGGAAGGGAAGCAGTGGCTCCTCTCCCCAGACACACCCACTGCCAATTGCTGTGCCCTGCCCAAAACCACCAGGTGACACAGGGGCAGATCCACTGTCTTGGCTGTTTTCCATAATCCAGCATTCAGGGACTCCAGAGTTGGACAATCAGGATCAATCCCAGGTTCCGGGCACTGGCACAAAGCAGCTGCTGTGCTGGAGGGGCCAATTTCAGAGGCTCCTCTCCCCTCAGCTGGGAATTCAGTGCTGCAAAGGGCCTGGCAGTGATTGTGGATTTATCTGTTCCTATGGATTCATCCCCAGCATTCACTGCCAAGTGCTGCTGGAGCATCTCCCAGCAGAAAAAAGCTGTGCCCAATCCAGAGGGTCCTCAGTGGGGTCCCTGCCCAGTTTTCCAGGGTGGATAGGAAGATGCTACTGACAGGCTGGATCTCAGGAGAACTTCAGTAATTTGCTGAAAGCTTCTAAAAAAACAGGGACTTGTTCCCAAGTCTAAGACAGCTCAAATCCTATTCCTAATAATGTGCTGCAAAAATGTGTCTGTGTGCAGGAATCTCCTTTTAACCTTTTTTCAGGGAACAGCTGCCTGGGATTTTAGTTAAAATTTACATCAACCTGCAACAGAAAAAAATACCCAGAAGCTCAAGGTTGACTAAGCATGAAGAAAAAACCATAGGAGCTCATTCCTGCACAGCCCAGACCTGACACTTTGGCTCATATGTGAAATAGATGGGAAGTGCAGAACCAAGTTCAGTCCTACCTTTAAGCAATCCTCAAGGAGTTGACAGCCCTCCAATGAAACCCTGGCTCAGGACAAGGCTCTCCTGCCTGTGCCATTGATCCAGGTGAGCACAGATGCTCCTGCTGGGAGTGACAGTTCCTTGGAAGGCAGCATCTCCTACCTGGAGCTGGGCCTTCCCCAGCCTTTGGGGGCCGCTGTCTCCATCCTCCCACGCCTCCTCATCTTCCTCCTCGCCAGGGTTGGCTTCCTCAGCCTGCAGAGCAAAGCCAGGGACGGTGCCCAGCCTGCTCATGCCAGCCTGGGCAGCAGGGACGGGCTGGTGGCACCTCTGGATGTCCCCCTGTGCCTGGCACCGTCCCTGCTCCGCGCCCATCCCCGTTCCTGCCTGGGCAGCTCCTTGGAACGGGATGTGAAAGCACAAACGTTTGCTCTGCTGGGGCTGGGACAGCAGAGACTCCCCCGGGGCAGGGGGCAAAGCTCCTGCTCCCACATCCTCTGCCTCCCACAGCCCTGCTGGGGCTGGCCAGAGCAAAGGAAACGCCTCAGCTCCTGCTGGAAATTCCCTCCTGTGCCCATCAACCCAGAGAAATCGGGGCTGCTCCATCCCTGGAAGTGTCCAAGGCCAGGCTGGATGGGGCTTGGAGCACCCTGGAGTAGTGGAAGATGTCCCTGGACTGACCTCAGCAGGAGCCAAATCCCACGTAAGGCCATTCCCCAGAGCATCCTCCTTCAGGGAAACAGGCGTGCCTCCGGATCCTGACACCTCTGCACAGCTAAGGAAAACTCAGAACTCTCCAAAGCTGTGTCATCCCAAACCGTGTTCCCTCCTGAAAACCGGACTACAATCAAAGCACCTGGGCAGCAGTGGGAAGGAAAGCTGCTCTAACCCCTCTGATTTCATACATGGATTTTACAATCCATTTTATCCCGTCTGGGACTTTCCCCACCTTCACTACTCACTACTGATAACTTCACTTTCACCTCAGAACATTCATTCTCTCCCCCGCACATGAACTCACATTTCACCCCGAAATGTTCATTTCGCTCCCTACAGAATCCGCCCCGGTGCCCGCAGCTCCCGGGCCGTCCCCGCCGCCCACTCGGGGCTGTCCCCGTTCCCCGCTCGGGGCCGTCCCCGTTCCCCGCTCGGGGCCGTCCCCGTTCCCCGCTCGGGGCTGTCCCCGTTCCCCGCTCACCTCCGAGCCCGCCGCAGCCGCTCCCGGTGCCCCGGCCCGGCCCCGCCGCTCCCCGGGCTCCGCCATTGCCGTTCCCGGCTCCGCGCCTGCGCTCCCGGCACAGCGACCGCGGTTCCTGCCGGGAGCGGTCCCGGCCGAGGGCCCCGCGGCCTCGCACGGCCAGTCCCGGTCGTTGTCCCGGCCCAGCTCCACGTCCCGGTCCCGGTCCCGGCCCAGCCCCATGTCCCGGTCCCGGTGCCGCGGAGCCGCGGGAAGGGCCCGGAGCGCTCGGAGCTGCAGTACCGGGTGTGACCACAAGACGGCAGCACGGAGGGAGCCGCGGCCACCGCGCATGCGAAGCGTTTTTAGGGGTCCAAAAAAATCCCAATTTCAGGTGCCAATAAATCCCAATTTCAGTCAATCCCAGATCCCGGATTTCGGGTGTTCCAGCGAGAGGAGGGAGAAAGAATCCGCGTACACAGGGCTGTTTCTAGTTCCTTCATACAGACCATCTTGTCTTACCTCTTCGAGCCCTTTATTGTTTCATTTATGTACACAAACACTTTATTTGTATTTTCAAACCCTACAGATCCATGTTCAGAATTTCTTACAGTCTAAAATCCTATAACACAGCAGGTACGAGGTCTTCCTTTAAAATCAATTTTTATATAAATTGAGATTACTTCTCAATATATAGAAAATGAGAATCTTTGCAGTTTTAAGTATTTTACACACAAACCCCTCAAGAATTTTCTGGCATTTTTTGGGCTATAGCCTCCCTTGGGTTTTAGGAGGACCTCTCCTGACCCCCCTCATCCCTCACTCACCTGGCTCCCCCTCCACAGATCTTGGAGTGTCCCAATTACACCATCACCCCCTGGACTCCCCAATTTCCCTTTTTCCTCTCCCCCAGAGAAGGCATGAAATGAGTCCAAGTGCCCTGGCCAGCAGCTCGGTGCTTCCATAAAAGCCCTCTCCACATGGACATCCCCCCCAAAATGGGGGAAAAATCAAGGGAGGGCAGGGCAGCTCCCTGAAGGGTTGGAATCTCCGCAGCTCCTGTCCTGCAGCACAGGGAGTGTCCCCGAGGGTGGTGCCTCATCTCCCACCCCGGCTCTGCTCTGCCATGTTCCCCCTCGGTTCCTGCGCTCCACACAATGCCAGGAGATGTCTCCTCCCTTCCCTGCAGTGCTGCTGCAGGGACACCATGGCACCAATGGCTTGGAAGATGAGTCTGGACTACAACCCTGGGATCCTGAGGGTCTGATATCCAACCTCTCTTCCTGAGGGTCCAAAATCAAACACCCCTCACCGCCACGGGGTTGTCCTCTCCTTTCAGCTGACCAGGATCCATGGATGGACCAGGCAGCAAGGATCCAATTTTTTGCTTTCCTCACGGCGTTCCTCAAGTCCGCATTGCTGAGGCCATAGAGGAACGGGCTCAGCCTGAGGACAGTGATGGAATACTCCAGGGAGATGAGCCTGTCCTGCTCCAGGGAGCGGCTGGAGACGGGTGCAGGTCCGTGAGGGTGGAGCTGCCATGGCACAGAGCGATGGAGGCCGGCTGGGAGCTGCCATGGCACAGGCAGACGAGGCCTCGTGCTGCCGGGCTGAGCGGATCCACAGGACAACAGCCTGGATGGACAGAGAGGACACCAGGATTGAGCTGGATGAGCCGTGGTGCTCAGCACGTGGAACCCCACCATGGCAGCCACCACAGCCTCGCTGGCACGGGTGTCAGAGCAGGACAGGGCCAGCAGCGGGGGCCTGTCACAAACAAAGAGCTTGATGGCCCAGGAGGGACAGAACAGGACATGGAACATGGAAATATGGTGTGGAGAGTAGAGCTGAGCCCTCCAGCCAACATCCCCGTGCAAATCCTCTGGGACATGGGCACAGAGTGGAGCAGGGGCCTGCAGGTGGCCACGTAGCGGTCGTAGGCCATGGCGGCCAGCACGTGGCACTCCGTGGTGGCCCAGGTGGCGAAGGAGAAGAGCTGGGTGACGTATCTCACAAAGGAAATCACCTTCTCCACCAAAACATCCCATAGCTCCGGGGGATGATGGTGAAGGAGCAGCAGACATCCAGCAGGGACACGTGGCTCAGGAAGAAGAACATGGGCATGCAGAGGCGCGGATCGATCAGGTTCAACACAATGGCTCCCAGATTTCCTAGGAGACTGACCACGTAGAGGGCAAGGAACAAGACAAAAAACATCACCTGCAGATCTGCTTGGGTGGTGAAACCTGGGAGAATAAATTCAGATGCAAACATCTCATTTTCTCCAGCCATACTGAACATTTTCTACATGCAGTTCAGCTGCTTTCTGTCTTTAGATTGAAGTGTTTAATGCACATAAATCCATTGATAATGATAAGAATGTTAATTTCTGTCAAGCAGTTACAAAACCTTCAGTCGATAAAAGGTAAATTCTCCTTGAAAGAGAAAAACCACAAGTTCCTGGCACCAGTAACCCTGTTCAGCCAATGTATTTGGAAGCAGGAACATATTTAAGCCATGAAGAAGGGAAATACCATATCAAAATTAATAAATCATAAATAAGTTGCATTGCTTCCTCCTAGCTCTTCTCAATCCACTTACACATGGAATTCCATTATTTTCATGTTAATTCCTGGGAATATGAAATTATTTCTTATCTTTTGACCATTCCCTACCCAGCCTGAGCACTTGAGGAATAAATACCTGCTCCCCGTGTCCCAGGAAGAGATTTTCTAGGTGAATGCATTGGAAAATGGGACTTCCCTTAGTGTATTTTTTCCTGGTGTAGGGATAAGAGCTGGGATTTTTCTTACCTCACTTTGCTTTAGATGTGATCCTTGATTTGGAGGTAAAAGATGAATTCATGTTCCATCTTGCTGTTCACCAGGGAGAGATCAGCAGCTCCTAAAACCCTACCTTACAACAGATAGAATAAATCAACATGGATTTTTCTCCTGGATAATCATGGCTTGACAGAATTGCACCAGAGAGTAAACCAAAAGTAGGCACTGCTGACTCCTGACAAATGGATCCAAACCTGGAAATCCTCATTATTGCATGAGCCTTGGTTGAAGGCTGAGTTCAGCCCCAGAACCTGACATCTGTTTCAGGTGTTCCATGGTCTCCTGGAGTTACTAAGGAGGATTTAGAGCTGCTTTTCATTACCCTCATGAAGTTGACAGAGATGCTAAAAATAAGGAAACCCAGACATTTTTGAGGCTGAATTTCCCCCAAGAGGCAGAATCCACCTGCTTCCATCAGAGAATTGACCTCGATTTCTTGCTTAACTAAAGTCCAGCCTCACTTTTTCTTACTTAACCAACCAGCTTTACTTTGTGTGATGGATCAGACACCTGGAATGGAAATAAACTCAATTAAAACCCATGGATTATATTTTATTCTTGCTGAGAAGCAGGTGGTTGGTGTGGAATAACTAATGGAGTGTTCATCCTGTCTTCCTGTGGTGAGGATTTCCATTGTGGCACCCAAATTCCTTAAAATCTTTGGGCAAATCAGTAGAAGAGCTTCCAATGAGCTGCCCTAGGATTCACCAAGATTACCTCAAGCAACCTGACCTTAAACACTTTCAGGGATGTTGTGGGAAAAGTGTTTTCCCACAACTTTTCTGGGAAATCTATTCCAGGGCCTCACTACCCTCTCAGGAAGGATTTATTCCCAGTATTCCATCTAACTCCACCTGAAGGATTCAGACAACCTGAAGCATCAGCTGAAAATTGTCCTAGGACAAAAATAAAGTGCAGTTTAAAGCATCTTTTCCAAATGTGAGAACTTCAAACACCCAATATTTTCAACTGGCTCTGGAGCTGACACTTAGAAAATAAAATATCCAGGTGGGATCAGGCACACAATACCATTGTTTTATTTATTGCCTACTTCTCAGTTTCCTGAGCAAGAACAAGACACTTTGCTACCCGAGGCTTACAGGAAAAAAGGAGGTTTTATGTAAAATAAAAAGGAGATCATATTTCCAGCAACGTCCAATAGATGGTGGTGGTGACATACAGGAAATACTGATGTTACATATTTTTACAATACATATTTTTTAACCTTTTTCCCCTTCCAGTTCTCCATTTGATACCTTAAAAGGATTTTTGTGGCTCTTTAATGTCCCTTGGGATTGACAGCTGAGTACCACGGTGTACCAAAGGAGCAAAAATAAGTTGTTCATGTAAAAACAGGAATTAAATTAATTTGGAAGTAGATAAAATGCAACTTTTTACAAGGAAAGGGGTTTTTTGACAACAAAAACCAGGTTGATTTGTCATCCTTGCCAGCACCAAGTTTTCAACCAGAATGTAGAGAAATGAGGGACCTGCAATTTCAGTCAGGAGTTATTTCTTGCCTAAAAATTTGACTTTTTAAATAATTATCACCCTTCATGTTTTAATTTCAGGTTTTCAGGTTTTTTCTTGCTTTGCTTTGTTATTTTTCAGTCCCTTTTCCCCACTGCCAAAGGGCAAATCTCTGGATACAAACTCCGCTGATAATATTCCTGACTCTGTTTTTGGCAAACCACCAGGGGTATAAAGAGGAAAACTAATTAGAGCTTTGTTTGAAGGCTTTGAAAAGCAGAAATTGAGGGTGGAAAAAGGACAGGGCAAAGGTGACTGGTTCAGTTGGAAATTTACCTAGTTTTCAAGTATAAGGTTACTAATTAATTAATTAATTGACTTGGCTTATGGATGATATCTCATTATCTCCAAACCGTGTTAAAACTGCAAATTAATCCATTTAGAATGTTATCCTTCCATCTTTTCTAGAAAGGGCTTTTCGTGGGAGCTGCCTCCCTAATCCAGCCCAGAAATCACAGAAGTCTGAAATGTGGTTTTTTTTTAATGTGTTAACCCCACATAACCTTTATACAGGGGATCCTGACACCTCTCACACAATCCTGGAATGGTTTGGGATGGCAGGGACCTGAAGGGTCATCCAGTTCCACCCCACTGCCATGGGCAGGGCCACCTTCCACTAGCCCAGGGTGCTCCAAGCCCCATATCCATAAATATATATGGATATAAATGGATAACTTGCTATCCTAGGACCAGAGATCTCCTAGATGTTTGTCCTTTCTGATCCAACATCATAAATATATATTAAAATCCAATATCAAATGTACATTATCCCATATATTTATACATAAAATGCAAAACATTATTGGGTTAAATGTGTGCACCAACACCCACATGTTACTGGATTTTCTTCCCCCTCACAAGCCCCCATGAATCCCACTTCATTTCCAGCTGAAACCAAGGTATGGATGAGAGCCCTGGCATGAGGGAGGGGAAAAAAAGAGCCAGACAGAATTCCCTGTCCCTGATAACACAACAAACCAGAATAAAAGGATTAAAGATAAAAATCCGATTCTTACCTTACCAGAGGAGCATTGGGATCAGAAGGTTCATTGAGAAACCCTCTCCATCAGCAAAACATCCTTTAATAGAAATACAATTTAATTTTTATAGTGAACATAACTTTACTTCAGGGTCAGGGGTGGGTTTGCTCCAGGTATTCATGGCAAACATCTCAGGCTGTCCTGGATGGATCCCTGGAGCAGCCAGCTGGGATTGCAGGGGGTGAGGGCTGATCCAGGCCTCCAGGTAAGGAATGAGCCCAAAATGCTTCCAGGTTGCTCCTGGCCTAGCACTGGGAGGTCTGTGCAGGACATACCTGTCAGAACATGATCCAGAGTCCATGAAACCTTCTTATTCTGCTCCAGGTATTCCCAGGAATATCTCAGCTGCCCACAAAGTACAGTTTGGATCCACAGGTGGGATTGATCAGTTATCAATAACACATCCCACGATAGCTTAGGTGGAATTAGAGGGATCAAGAGACTCCAGGTAGGCTGGAAGAGGATGTGCCATGTCCAAAGGAGACCCACACAGGGTCACAGAATCCTGGAATGGTTTGGGTTGGAAAGAGCTCTAAAGATCATCCAGCTCGTGCTGATGTTTTGGTTGGGTGTAGCTCTGCAAACAACAACATTTTAACATCAGTGTTGGAATTTGGTGAGTTTCCACACCAAAATTTCACCACTGACTCCCATTAGTTCCTGCTTTATTCCCCATTCCCCAGGCACAACTTCAAACACCCCCCTCTTTTCTCAAAATAATAAATAAAACCAAGAAATCCAGTTATTTCCATGAGAAACTTTTGATGCTTAGAAAAGAATGACCAAGAAGGCAAAACAGCTTGTAAAAGAAGTTAAATAATTATCAGGTAATTAAGTATAAACCTTTGAACTGTTTACCACTTAATCCTTCCTCTGCCTTTGTGCATTTTCTAAGAAAAATGGCAATTTTTGCTTTCATGAGTATTTCTGCTCCATTTCTTTGACATTGACCCAAATCAAATCTATTTTATCTTTTTCCAGGACTGTATTGCACCAAATCACCACTGACTTCCCCAAAAACCTTATTTTTCCACCTTCCATCTTGCTTCATAAATCAGAATCAGATTTATTCCAAATGTTTTATTTATTTATTTATTTAATGTTTTATTTATTTTATTTATTTATTCATCCCAAATGCCTCCTGATGTTCTCTGAGCCAAGACTCCAAACCACCAGGACAGCTGGTGACAATGAGGCAGGTCCAAGGTTGACCTAAATTGTATATTTTTTTAAATAAGGTATTTATTTTAATTCTTAATCCAGTCTATCAAACTGTTATACAATAAATCGTTCACCATGGATAAAGTTCACATAGATAAATTAATGTTTTACACCTTTATGAGCTCCAGTAAGCTGAAACATCCAAAAACCAACTCAGTCCTGGTTAGGGCTGGATCTGTGATCAAGACAAGGTGCAGATTAGAGGAAGATGTGCACATGTTGTTAAACTGGCAACCAGGACTTCTGCAGAGGGAACAACCTCCTTGGGCTGAGCTTAAGCTGAGCTTAAATAGAGTTTGTGGGTCAAGGTGTGGATGGAGCCCCCAGATGGGGTGATTAATGCAAATTAGTTCACTCTGGGACAATTAATCACTGTCTGAAAGTGCCCAGAGAAGCCTGCCCAGGTGTGGACATCTGGGCTGCAGGTACCTCACCTTGGATAATCCCATCCTTGAAGGAAAACTGGGCTGCCTGGTGTCCACAGAGGAACATCAGCAGCTCCAGAGCTGGAGGGGCTTTGTGTGACACTTGGGGACCCTCTCACCAGCCGGTCACTGCTGGTGCCACGTGTCCATGTGATGTGGTGGCTCATCCACGTGATGGACTTGAGATCCCTGAAGCACAATGGATTTCAGAATTCCATTCTATCCCTTTTTCTTTTTCCTCTTTTCTTTGTTTATGTGCTGTGCCATGAGGAGCCCTGAGGGGTTTGTCCCAGGAGAGCAGAGGGAACATATTCACAGCCCTGTCACCCACAGGCTCAGAGTTGGAGTCATGGAAGGAGCACATCCCTCTCCACATCAGCCTGGATGTTCTCTGCTGCATTTGGGATAAACCCTTGGCTCCCACCACCACAGCGAGGGCACAGGAGGAGCTGTAGATCCAAGAGAAAGAAGTTGGATTCCTTCTTCAGGTCCTCATATCCTCTTTTTTGGGGCTGTGCTGAAAAACAGCCTTCCAAATACAGGATTTTTTATAATAAATGGAAGTAATGGCTTCTGCAAATTGGTTTTTGTTTTCCTTAGGCATCCAAAGCAAGATAAATGGATTTATGGAAGTGTTAAAGACAATTCTTATTTAGTTATGAAGAACTGTCAGAAGAATGCAGTTGTTAACAAATCAGCCTCTGGAACTGGATTGTTTTAAAATTCATTCCCATTCAAAGTAAGTCTTATCTTAATTCCCATGTTTTTTTGCATGTTTCAGCCTGCTGGAGCTCAGAAAGGCTTAAACATGAATTTATCCATGTGATTTTTATCCAGTGTGAGTGATATATAATACAACAGTTTGATGGACTGGATTAATAATTAAAAGCAAAGGAAAAGTATTATTAATATGGTGCAACCTGGGATTTCACTGGCACTGGGACTTTCTCCCACTCCAGGTTTACATTATCTCCAATCAGATTTCTCCAAGGTGCCTTCTGAAACAAATTTCTTTCAAACCAAAAGGGAATAAATATCTGATTCTTTTCTTTGTTATTAATAAACACGTGCCAGAATAAATCCATCATTTTAGGTATCCAAGCACAGAAAAGCAAATTTGCCATTTGTGTTTCTTTAAGCTCTGTGTTCTTTTCTAGGCACCTCAACTGATAAATAAAAAAGTATAGAATTTATGTTTGGAAAATATATGGAATATACCAAAGTATGGCAATAAAAATGGTGATCAATTGGAGTTAAATATGACCCAAAAGCAAAACTCTGGGTTTTACAATTTTGATGTATTTCTTCCCTTTGCCTCAGCAGGTAACACCTGGCCATGGGAGGAAACTACACACAGCCCAGATTCATCCTCCTGGGAATTACAGACACTCCCTGGGCGCAGGCCCCTCTTTTTGTGCTCTTTCTGTTGATTTACATCGTCACTTTGGCAGGGAACATTGGGCTGATGGTCTTGGTTTGGGTGGCTCCCAGCCTCCACACCCCCATGTACTTCTTCCTCACCCACCTTTCCCTGGCCGACGTCTGCTATTCCACCGTCATCTCCCCCAAAATGCTCACAGATCTGTTATTTGGGGATAAAACCATTTCCTGGGCCGGCTGCGTGACACAATTCCACCTCTTTGCTCTCTTTGTCACGGCCGAGTGTCACCTCCTGGCCGCCATGGCCTACGACCGGCACGTGGCCATCTGCCACCCCCTGAGCTATGTCCTGGTGGTGTCCCCCCGGGCCTGCTGGCAGCTGGTGGCCTGGTGCTACCTCGTGGCCTCCCTCAGCGCCCTCCTCTACACCGGCTGCACATTTGGGGGCTCCTTCTGTGGGCCCAACCATGTTGATCACTTCTTCTGTGACGCCAGCCCTGTGCTGAGGCTGGCGTGCTCCGACACCCGCGGCTGCGAGGCCGCCATCTTCGCCCTGGCCGCTGCCAACGGGCTGGGCACCAGCGTGGTCATCCTGCTCTCCTACGGCCGCATCCTGCACGCCATCCTGGGCACGAGCTCGGCGCCCAGCAGGGCCAGAGCCTTCCGCACCTGCGCCTCCCACCTGGCGTCTGTGGCTGTGTTCTACGGCTCCCTGTTCTTCATGTACCTGCAGCCGGCGTCACAGCACGGCAGCCGGGACAAGGTGGCCTCTGTCTTCTACACCGTGGTCAGCCCCATGCTCAACCCTTTCATCTACAGCCTGAGGAACAGGGAGGTGAAGGCAGCGCTGGGGAGGGGCAGGAGGAGGGTGTTAAACCTCTGCCGGCATCAGAGAGGTGCGGCTCGTGGCATCAGGGAGTCCTGGAATGGTTTGGGTTGGAAGGGACATTAAAGATCATCTGGTCTAACACTCCATGGGCAGGGACACCTTCCACTACACCAGGCAGCTCCAAACCCCATCCAGCCTGGCCTGGAACTCTTCCAGGGATGGGGCAGCCACAGCTTCTCTGGGCAGCCTGTGCTAGGGCCTCCCCACCCTCACAGGGAAAAATTTCTTCCCAGAATCCCATCTAAACCTAACCTCAGCTTAAAGCCATTCTCTGTTGTTCTGACACTCCATGCCCTTGTGGAAAAAAACTACTCCTCAAAAGCAAGAAATAAAAAAAAAAAAAAATTATATTAGATGGATTTTTCCCTGATCTTCACAGTTTTATATAGGTTCTTCCATAGTTCCTCACAAAACTCAATTACAATATTTATCCTGGAGAAGTAGACCCCACGGTCGCATATTCCTTGTAAGGAAACAGGAGTGGGAGCCTCAAACTTGAATTTCCTTTGTGGCCATGAGGCTGTCAGAAGAAATCACCCAGAATATTCCAGGGTATTATTCCAATTAAACCTTTCTTTCTCTCAGGAAAAGCAAACCACAGCTTTATTGGTTTATAACTTATTTTGCACTGATCAATATGTATTTTTCTTGCAAGATTATTGTCCTTATCCCTAAACTCCAATAAAATTCCTCATTGTTACCTGTGAGTTATTTATTAGAGCCAAGCTGCTGGAGTGGGAGGGAGCATTTGGGAAGAACAAGAGTATTTTTAAATTTGGTTGATAAATGAGTAAGATAAAAGGCTTTAAAAGTGCATTTTTTTTTGACTCAGAGGGATAAAAAGCTGATGCAAGTCAGGATCTCAAGATACACCTTGGAATATCAAAGGGAATGCAAATCACATATTGAAAACCTAACAGGTGCATTTCACCCAAACTTTAAGTACTTAAGTGATTTGGTTTCCATAGATGAAAGAATCCTCAACACCTGATCTATGGATAGCTGGGAGCTGTTTGGGTCTGGAAAAGGCCCTAAAAAGCCAAAAATAACACTTCTCCAAAATATGGCTCAATAAAGAAGACACAGGGGTGGCCACAACACTGGGGAGAGACCAGCAATCCTTCATCTTCTCCCGGCAGGCACTTAGAATGGAACAAAGTCAGCATTCCTACTTTCTGCTCATCCTAACAAATTCCAAAGGATAAATATCCTTTGTTGTTTTTGAGGGCAAACTGATCACAATCCTGCAACTTTCTTCTACAATTCAGATAGTCTGGATAAGCTCAGCAGACACTTCCCCCTCTTCCTCCTCTTCTCCTCCCCCTCATTTTGGTTGTCCCTCACCTGTTGTCACCTTTGGGGGCTGGGATGAGTTTGGACTGTGCAGAGGCATAAGCCCTGGTTGCAGCAGGGAAAGGTGGAAGCAGAAAACTTTTCCCTTTGGTGTTTTGTTGCAGATGTTGTGTTCTGAGGAGTTACATGAGAATTCACTGCTGTTTGAAAAGTAAATGGACTGTGAGTAGTCTCCTTGTTCTCTGGGAAAAAACAGCAGAAGAGATGTTTTAAGTCTGGGGGGAAGAGGGAAAGGTAGATTTGGATCTGGATAAAGAAGCTGGAATTGATCTAATTAAATGATAAAGGTATAAATGTCAAATATAGATATCAAAGTTGGGAGGGAAGGGACTTTAAAGCCCATCCCATTCCAACACCTTCCACTAGACCAAGCCCTGTCCAACCTGGCCTTGCACACTTCCAGGGATGGGGTAGCCACAGCTTCTCTGGGCAACCTGTGCCAGGCCCTCAGCACCCTCCCAGGGAAGGATTTCTTTATTACATCCAGTGTAAACCCACTCTCTTTCAGTTCAAGATTTTCAGGTTTAAATGAAGAATTAAGAAAGCCCACCAGCAGATCTCAGCTCCAGGGTGCCACCATACAGGTACTCACAGCTATTTCCAGCACAAGGGATGCTGCTCCCACTCCCAGAGCAAGAAGTGATCCTGGGAGACCAACCACCCTTCAAGGGATCACCAGCTTAACAAGATCTTCTGGGCTTTGCCAAGAGTTTCCTAATCATCATCATGGAACTTCTCAGAGGGCTTCTCAACAACTTCTTTCATTCATCTTAACGAGCCATTAGAGACTAATTAGCAAAGGAAAACAAGGAAGAAACTTTCTTCCTTGTTAAAGAGAAAGTGAACTTCTCCAGATGCTTTGTTTGTCAGATCCAGGCCCTGGAGCCAAAAAGCTGGAGGGTCAGTGTGTTGGCACGGGTCTGTGTTAGGAGACCTTAAAGCTCATCCAGTGCCACCTCCTGCCATGGGCGGGTACACCTTCCACTATCCCAGGCTGCTCCAATTCCCAGCCAGCCTGGCCTTGGACACTTCCAGGGATGGGGCAGCCACAGCTTCTCTGGGCAATCTGTGCCAGGGCCTCAGCACCCTCACAGGGAAGAATTTCTTCCCCATATGCAATCTAAAAGCCATTCCCCCTTGTCCTGCCACTCCAGGCCCTTCCCAGAGTCCCTCTGCAGCTCTCCAGGAGTCCCATTAGGCTCTGGAAGGGCCTCTCAAGTCTGACCTCTACAGACTGAGCTCAGATATGGGTTAGTGCTGGCCTTGGCAGAGCTGGGTTAACAGCTGGGCTCCATGATCTTAGAGGGCTTTTCCAACCTAAATGGTTCTGGGATTCTGTAACTGTTTCTACCCCATATTTGCTCCTCGTCAAGCATTCCTGCCACTCCTTCTGTGCTCAGTTTCACTGTAGTTCCAACAGTTTGTTTTTCCTTCCTCTCTGTCTTGGTTTATTTTAGAGGGGAAATTGCACAGTTGCTCAAAACTAAGCAAAGCCTGCTCAATAACAAAACCAAAATATGAACAAAATGCTGGGATAGGGAGCAGCAGTTGTAATTCCACCATGATCCATAGGAGATGCCAGATGAGGGCTCCCTGCTCTATGAGCAAGACTGGGCCTTGAGTTGGGCCACTGCCCACCCTGTGGTGGCACACAGGAAACTCCCCTAGGAATGGATGACTTTGGAAGCAGCTCCTTCAGCAGGAGACTTGCACTGGTAAGTAAACACCATCAGTTTCAGAAAGTTTGATATATATATTCTACATATTGTAGCCTGAGAGTTTATGTCCCACTTCTTTTTATATATATAAATTTATATGTATAAAGATCTTAATATATATTTCTTTATGTATATAAGGAAAGTTTGTTTATAGAATTTATTTTTTTTTCTTAATATATATATAATTATAAATATATATAAATTTGTCCTTGAAATATATAATTGGCTTCTTGGCATCACAGGGAAATAAAAAGAACTGGAGATTCAGGGATTGGGAAACAACTGGGGGTTTGGAGAAGTGCTGCAACTGCTAACTGGGAAGAAGGGAGAACACTTTGGAAAATCTCTTGCTGCATTTTATTTTTACATTATCTGGGATATCCTGATGTCTAAACAACCAGAGAGTGTCACAATCAGGCAGATGGAGAAAAGTTTCTCTTTTTTTTTTTTTCCCCTAAAAGAAGGAAATGGTCCCAAGTAGGTGTAATCAGAAGAGATGAAGAGTCCCTGGTCCTCAAGTTCTACAAGTGGTCAAGAAGTGCTTAAATTCCTGAAATTAAAATACCAGGCAGCAAACACAAACAAAAAAGGAAATACTATTTTTCAGCTGAGTGTTTCCTCCCCATCAGCCTCCAGAGCCCGGCCTTCACCTCCTGGTTCCTCAGGCTGTAGATGAAGGGGTTCAGCATGGGCGTCACCATGGTGTGGAACACAGAGGCCATCTTGTCTGGCTCCCGGGAGCTCCTGGAGCTGCGCCGGCAGTACACGGACACCAGGGATCCGTAGAAGAGCGCCACGGCAGCCAGCTGGGAGGCGCAGGTGGAGAAGGCCTTGTGCTTCCCCGCGGCCGAGCGCGTGCCCAGGGCGGCGGCCAGGATGCGGGCGTAGGAGAGGAGGATGGCCAGGACGGTGGCGGCCAGGCTGAATCCCGCCATGAGGAACGTGCCCAGCTCGTTGGGCGCGGGGTCCGTGCAGGAGAGGGCGAAGAGCGGGGGCCCCTCGCAGTAGAAGTGGCGGATGCCCTTGGGGCCGCAGAAGCTCAGCCTGAGGGCCAGGCCCGTGTGGAGGGCGGCGTTGGTGGCCCCAGCCAGGCAGGAGCTGGAAACCAGGAGCGCACAGATCCCTCGGGACATGGAGAGGGGGTAGAGCAGGGGGTGGCAAAGGCCACGTAGAAATAGAACTGCGTGAGGCACTAGGCGTGAGAAATGGCCTTGTCCTCATCCAGGAGATCCCAGAGCAGCCTAGGAGTGATGCAGGAGGAATAGCAGAGGTCCAGGGAGGACAGGCTGCTCAGGAAGAAGTACATGGGGGTGTGGAGCTGGGCAAGCAGCCTGATCAACACCAGCAGCCCCGTATTCCCCAGCAGGGTGATCACATAGATTGCCAGGAAGACCACAAACAGGACAACCTGGATGGACATGGCCCTGCTCAGAGAATCCCAAGAGGACAAAGTGAGCACTAGTGGTTCCATTTCCTTTGGCTGCCATCCTAATGCAGCTGCTGTAGGAAAGCCCAGATGGAGAGTCAGGATATTCCTGTTTTCTACACAAACAGATTAAAAATGGCTGTGTTTTTATCAGCAAACACAGCCTGGAGATGCAGGAACTGCAGAATTTACTGTTTGGTTCAAAATACATTTTAAAGTAGTCAAAGTGAGTTTGTTTCTAATGGTTTTAGTCTGGTTTAGCCACTGATTGGGTTTGATAAATCACTTTGCACAGTGGAAGGTTTATAACACCTCCTGAAGAAGTTAAGGGAACGATTACTCATCAGATTCAAAGCATTAACCCCAGCAATTTATCCTGAATTTAGAAATCACTATGAATTTGAAAAAAAACCTGAAAACAACAAAAACCATCCAAAAAACAACCCCAAACCTCATTGGTTTAGATGATCCAAAAGAGACAAAGCACTGGTGAGAGATCAGGACATCTTTAAAATTTTCTTTAGGAGAGTTAGAACAAATTAAAATAAACCAAATTTATTCTCTTCCTTCCCATGAAACTGAAATTCAGGTTCAAACAGGAGATTTAGTGTATTAAAAAACCCTTTAAATATGGTGATACTTGTGTCATTCCTGTGAGAAGTGTGGAGAAAGAAAAGGGTTTTAAAAGTCTGGAGGCCCCAAAAACGTTTTGGTGCCATGATTAACTGGGAGGAGTAAGATGCTGATAATACATTTCAAATAAATAGAATATTTATAATTTGGGAAATAATCCAGGTAGTGCTGCTATGCAATTATTGATCTTCAAGGCCAGGTTGGACAGGGCTTGGAACAACCTGGGCTAGTGCAAGGTGTCCCTGCCCATGGATCATCACTGGAGGATCCATAAGGTCCCTTCCAACCCAAGCCGTGGATGTCATGATAAATTCCTGGGTTTCACCTCAGAGACCCTGAGCCTGGATGATTATTTGTTGTGAGAACAGGCTCCCACTTCAAGCCCTCTCCTTGCAACAGATCAACTCCCTGAAGCCTTATTTTGGCTAAAATTCACCTGTTTCCTCACATCTCAGGGCCCTTTTTGCTTGATCAGATTTTATCTCCCAGACCAAAATTTCCAGGGAGAAATAAACCCAGTGTTAGTGTGGGAATAATTTACCTTCACAAATTTACCTTCACAAAAAGCATTAAAACTTGACCAAAAAATCTGCTGTTTGCAGTCCTCATTCACAGGAACACCAAGGGGTTTGTCACTGCCCAGCCCTGGAGCAGGAAATTTCCCTTGGGAATGGATGACTTTGGAAGCAGCTCCTTAAAGAGGAGACCTGTGCTGGTAAATAAAGACCATTAGTTAAAACAACTCAATTAGTTTCAGGAAGTTAAATGGCAGCTTGAGGATTTATTTACCACTATATATATACAATTAAATATATGAATATTTTACTATATAAATAAAGTTAATATAGAGGTTTAATTTATATCTGCAGTTAGAGATGTAATTACTTAATAAATATAAATATTTTCCTAATAGATATAATTTTATTTTATATATTATATGTAATTGCATACATTTAAATGTATGCAATTAGAATATATAAATAATTTCCTGGGATCACAGGGAATTAAAAAGAACTGGTGTAAGAAATGGAGATTCAGGGATTGAGAGACAGCCCGGGGTTTGGAGAAGTGTTGCAAATGCCAGTCAGGATGAAAGGAAAACTCTGCAGGAACTTTACTGCTGCAATTTATTTTTACATTTTCTGGTGATAATGATGAGCTGAATTTAAGACTTTTAGGTTCAGATTGACCCTTCAGTCAATTTGCCCAGAGTGTGAGGAATATTCATCCAAAATGTGAGTTAGGAATGAAGGCTCAGATGTACTGGAATACATGTTTTGCAACCAGGAAGAACCTTCACCAATTTCCTGGAGTTATTTGTTATTATATCCTTCTGCAAACACTTGGGAAGCACAATTTTCCCCAACCAGCAAAAAATGGTCTCAAAACCACTTAACATTTCACCCTTTCTGATTGTTAAGATACTCACAGGTCCTGGAGCTGAAGTCCACAAGCCAAAACCAGGAAGTTTTCTGTTCCCACCCCCTAACGTGGCTGGAATATTTAAGTTTTACCCCATCCCCACGCGACCAATAACCACAGGGTCACTGAGGCACCTGAACACACCATGAGCCTTCTCCAGAGGCCCTGGGATCCATCCCAAGGTTTCTCCCTGGAGTTTTAGGGATGGGATGCCTGCAGCACATCAGAATTGATGCCTGCAGAGCCTGGGTGATGCCATTTGTGAACACAACACTGCCAAGAGGAAACACCAAAAGAAGGATTTTTGCGAAAGGCTTGAATCTGAAAAATTTTTAAATTCTTCCCTAATTCCATATTTCTCTTCTCACCCTCCCAAAGAAGCTTTTCCTTCCCTGTTCCTCCAGCTCTCAGTCAGAGGTTCATTGCAGGAAGTCCCTTGAGTGGCTGTCAGCTGCTGGTGGATGTCCTTGCACTCAGAACACTCACTGATGGCTCATCTCCATCCTGGTGGCCACCACAACCTCCACACCTGCTCTCCTGTCCCAGTGTCTGGGACAATTATTCCCCATGGGCAACGCTCAGCATTTTCCCTTTTCCAAGCTTACCTGGTTCTCATCTGCCCATTTTTGACCAGGAAGCCTCATTTTCAAAAACTGTTTTGCAATGTGTGCTTCAAAATGAGTTGAGGAGACTTATGGGGAGTAAACTCTACCAGCCAGAGAATCCTGGGATGGCTGGGGTTGGAAGGGACCTTAAAGCTCATCTCATTCCCATGCCCTGCCATGGGCAGGGACACAGGATGACCCCTGAGGAATGTGTGAGGAGTGTGTTTGCTCCACCAGGAGCAAACATCAGTGCTGGACGTTCCATCTCCTTCCCCCATGGTGCCTCCAGCTCCACTCATGCATGGTCAGGTGCTGTTCCCACAGAAGTTGGACACAGTTCACCCTCATTTCCCCAGTCCCCACTTGCACCACAACCCAAAACCTTTTGGTTTTGAGAGCAGCAGCTCCAGCACAAAGCCACAACATGCACAGTGACAGTGCCACAGCCACAAACTCAGGGTTTAATTCACTAAGGGCTCATGATCCTGTTTAAAGGTCAGCTGATGGCCAAGGCAAGATCAGCTGGACAAAGAAATTAAAGCCATGAAATGCTTTCTCAAATTATTATTAAAATATTGAATATTTTTCAAATATTTTTTGTATTGCCAAACAATGGTAAGGTCCCAGAGCAAAGAGAGTTGCTCTGGGGTTATGTTTTAAATGCCTTAATGTTTTAATCAATTAAAAATTATGGGGGGGTTATGTTTTAAATAAAACATTTAAAATAATCTTTGGTCTTATTTAAAGAAAAAATGTACAATCTTGTCTGCATCTAAATTAAACAATGTCTTGAGGGTGGCATGGAGGAGCAGAAGGGTGGGAGAACAGCAGGAAATACACAAAGAGGTCCCAGTTCATGGTCCTGATCACAGAGTCATAGAATTGGTTAGGTTGGGAAAATCCTCTGGGATCATCAAGTCCACCATTCCCACATCAGTGCACACTTTTTAAACCCCTCCAGGGATGGGGATTCCACCACTGCCCGGGCAACCTGTTCCAGGGCTGGACAGCCCTTCCCGTGAAGGAATTTTCCCTTTCCAACCTAAACCTCCCCTGGTGCCTCTTGAGGATGTTGTCTCCACATCTGTGGACGTGTGAGTTGAGGCCCTTTGGGGCCTGCCATGGGGGCACAGCACAGCTGAGGAAAGAGAAACAGGAGCATAAACAGCTCAGGGGGATTTAGCCAGGCAGCCTGACTAAATAATAACCAGGGAATTGTTGGCAAGACTTGGGAACAAAGGATTCAGCTGAGTGACTCTGAGTGCCTGTGAGTTTTGTGTCATCAATAAGTCAGCAAACTACCTTGATTCTGGCTTGATTTAATCCAACTGAGCAGCTTCTCCTCCATCCCAAATTGTTCTGAGTCTCTAGGAGAGTCTCATCATTCTGGATTTCACCATGGACCTGGCACAGGGTGAGATAATGCACTGATTGGAGGGTTTGGGTTTTTTCATATACGCAGTGCTTTAACACCAAATGTGTCACAGAATTCTGGAATGGTTTGGGTTGGAAGAGACCTCAAAGCTCATTCAGTTCCAACCTCCTGCTGTGGGCAGGGACACCTTCCACTAGACCAGGCTGCTCCAAGCCTCATCCAAACACCAAAACTGGAGTGAAATTGTTATTTTCAGCTGATATTGAGTCAGCCAGCACATCATCTAAATCATCTAAATCAGCCAGCACATCATCTGAATAAAGTGCAGAAGGCCTCAAAAATATCTCTCTACATATTTTACAAAAATCCCAGCATATCACCCACATCTCCATTGTATCTGGCCACAACATTAAAACATGCAAGCTCATTTTATTTTCCTGAGTCTCCTCCAAGCCTCCTTCACCTCCCGGTTCCTCAGGCTGTAGATCCAGGGGTTCAGCATGGGGGTCACCACAGAGTAGAGCACAGCAGCCCATTTATCCCCTCCCCTGGAGGTGTCTGACCTGGGGATTAAGTACATGAAAATCAATGGCCCATAGAAGGTGCTGAGGGCAGCGAGGTGGGAGGCACAGGTGGAGAGGGCTTTGCGCTTGCCCTCAGCTGAGCTGATGCTCAGGATGGTGGAGATGATGGCCACATAGGACACCAGGACCACCAGCAGGCTGGGAACACCGAGCAAAGATGAAGAAGTCCTCAGGATGATGAGGCTGAGGGTGGTGTCAGAGGAGGAGAGGGAGATCAGCATGGAAATGTCACAGAAGAACAGATCGATGGCACTGGAGCTGCAGAAGAACAAGCTGGACATGCCAATGGCTTGTCCCACACCATTGGTCAGCCCCAGGAGGTAGGAGCTGGTCACCAGCCAGGAGCAGCGCTCTGGGGACATGACAAGGAGGTAGAGCAGGGGGTGGCAAATGGCCACATATCGGTCATAGGCCATTGCAGCCAGTAGGAAACACTCAGTGACCACAAACAGGCCAAAAGTGAATATCTGAGCCATGCACCCAGCATAGGTGATTCCCTTCTTCCCCAAAAAAACCCCAGCCAACGTCCTGGGGGTGATGGTGGTGGAAGTGCAGAGGTTCACAAAAGCCAGGTTGCCCAGGAAATAATACATGGGGGAATGGAGCAGGGCACTGGCTCTGATCAAGGTGATCATGCCCAAGTTCCCCAGGATGGTGACAAGGTAGGTGAGCAGGAAGAGCAGGAAGAGGGTGACCTGAGTTGCCGGGTCCTCGGTGAATTCTGCCAAACTGAACTCAGTTGTTTGGGTGCAATTGATTCCTGGCATTGCTTCAAAGTTGTTGTCTGTGTGAACTCCCTGCTGGAGGTTTCCTCCAGCTGGAAAACCCTCTTTGCAGTGGGATCTGTTTGGAGACAATCCTACAAGATCTAAAACAAGAGTTTAGGCACAGATTGATAAACAGTGCTGGGTGGAAGTCATGGCATGGGTAGGGAGAAGCTGTAGGTTACACAACCCTGAGGAGCTTTACCTTGGTGCTGCCTTCAATCCCCTGTGTGTCTTCAGTCTGGGACTTTGAAATCATTCAGCACAACCTGAAACATGGAGAAACCCAACAAAAGCTATAAAAGACAGCACAGAATTGACTATTCTTCCTTGTGTTGGCATCTGCCAACCACCTGCCTTGACTGTCTTCTCTACAGACTCCTGTAAGGGTTTGGGTTGGATGGGATCTTGAAGACCATCTCATTGCACCCCCTGCCATGGGCAGGGACACCTTCCACTAGACCAGATTGTCCCAAGCCCCATCCAGCGTGGCTTTGAACATTTTCCAGATAAGGGGCACCCAAAACTTCCTGACTATGAAGTCTCCCCTCCCTCCTGATGATTTTCCTAAAAGATTTTCCCAGCTCTTTATTCTGTTCCTGCAGTCTTCAAACAAAAACATGCAACACTGAAAGCTCAGCAATTTCCTCCTAAAAATATTTATTTTTTGGGAAAAAAAAATTAAAAGTCACCTTTTGGACATGCCTTATATCAGCAATAGTAAGATCCATAAGAGTTCTTTGCAGGAAAGCTGCCAGTCCTCATCCAGGAGCCCTTTGTGGTCAGTGAGAGGTACCCAGAGCGAGTGCTCCAACGGGGTGTCCTCACCACACACCTGCAGCAGATCACCTGGATTTGGTGCTGAGCCCAGAGTACAATAAGGAACTGGAGCCCAGGAGCCTCCAGGCAGGAGCTGAGGGCTGAAGCTGTTTCTTCTTTGCAAGAAAAAACAACAGGATGGGTGGCTTGGCATGTGCTGTCCTTAGTCGTGGCTCTCCAGGATGATCCTCCCCTACATCTCTTCAGCCTCCCTGCTTCCCTCCTGATGCTTTTCAAGGTGGATGTCAAGGTGCTCTGCAGGTGAATTTAAAAATATACCACTGTAAGCAAAGACCTTTTTCCATGTAATTTGGGGATTTAGAGGCTCTTGGAGCCCCAGGAGAGTGACAAAGCCCAAAGCACGTTGTTATTGCTTCTCTGAGCTTCTGAGTTTGGAGGTGATTACACAGAGGAGATTATCTCATCTTAATAAGCCACAGGGCTTTGGGAACTCCCCAGAGTAACCACAGTGCAAAACCCCACCTGTTGTGACAAATTTTTGGGCATTCCAGAGATGTTCAGCTCTACAAATGCCGTGTTTGGCCTGATCACACCAGTGAGCTGAGGGGAATCTCACTGGTGGGGCACAGTCCCATGGGAGCTGGTCTCCATCAGCAGTTCCAGTCACCAGAGATGATGAACCACCTTTCTACCCATTCCAAATTCCTTAGACCCAAACCAAGCTCACCTGTCCCATCCCTGGAAGTGTTCAAGGTCAGGTTGGAGTGATCTGGTCTAGCGGAAGGTGCCCCTTCCCATGGCAGTAGGGTGGAACAAGATGAGCTTTAAGGTCCTTTCCAACCCAAACCATTCCAGTATTCTATGAAGTTTGGCTGCAAGAACCCAGGAGAACCACAGAATATGCTGAGTTAGAAGGGATCCACAAGGATCACCAAGTCCAGCTCTCAGCCCTGCACAAACCCATCCCCAAAAGTCACACCATGTACCCAAGAGCATTGTTCAAATGTTTGTTGAGCTCTGTCAGACTTGGTGCTGTGACCACTGGTCTGGGGAGTCAGTCCAATCACCCTCTGGGTGAGGATCATTCTTCTAATACCCAGCTTAAACCTTTATCTCTTCCACAACCAATCCTCCCTCCAAAAGATATCTTCTGTTAATGGGCCATTGAGTGTCACTACATAACTAATAAAAATTACATAATCCCATTGTGAGGTGCTCCACCCAGAGGGAGGAACCAAACATTCCTACCTGGATATAATTTAAGATTTAGAACAACGGAGAAAACCTTTTCCCACTAGATTCCCAGTAAAACAGCTTTCTTCTCCATTAAATTCCCAGAAGAAAACCAAGCCCATCTACACTACCACTGGGCCTTCAGAAGTAAACTACACCTTTGCACAAGATCACTGCTTCAACAAAACCACATCTATCACTCCAAGAAGACTGCAAATACCATCTACTCAGACTGCTATCAACACCCTGGCCAACTGAGTGTCAAGTTGTATTCTCTGTCAGTGTTTTTTTTTTTGTTTATTTGTTCTATTGCATTTGTATTTTAATTTTCTTAGTAAAGAACTGTTATTCCTATTCCCATAGCTTTACCGAGAACCTCTTAGTTTCAAAATCACAGTAATTCAGAGAGAAGAAGTTTGCATTTTCCATTTCACAAGAAGCTCCTGCCTTCCTTAACAGACACCTCTCTTTTCAAACCCAGACAAACTTCCAGTCAGCTAGAAACTCTCCAGATTCCCAAGACTGCTCAAAAAATTGAGAGAGGTTTTTGACATCAGCAGCTCTTTGATTCTTGGAGGATTCTTGGATGAATCCCATCGGGCCCCATGGATTTGTAGGGGTCCAGCTGGAGCAGCAGTTCCCACACAACTCCAGTCCTGTCTGTTACTAGAGGTTCTACCCACTGCCTCTTCAGCACAAGACAAAGATCCCACTTCTGTGCTGGATCCAAACACAGAACAGGAGCAGCTGCCTTTTACTGATGGGGGGAAAGAAAATGCCCAGTTTATAGAAACAGACAGTGCAGAAAAATCCACAAAGACCATACCTTTGGCATTGGGAAGTGGCATTCCCCCGAGCAGGAACAGGTGTTGCAATGCCCAGGCTCCAAGCCTGGTTCCCAACAGAAGCAAAGGTCCAAGCTGAAAGATGTCTCTGGATTTCAGCTTCCCTGTGCCTGGGATGGGAACAGCCACTGGACTGGGAACAGCTCCACCTGACATTGATATTTTCAGTCTCTGAGTGACACCAGCTCCAAAACCTCCATCTCCTTTGGGGCTCCCCAGAAAAATAAATCAGCGCTGGGAGCGCCTCAGCGCATTGGCCAGTGACGAGCTGGGCAGGTTTATAGAGGCTGGGGCCTGAGGGGAGCTAGCATTTGTGACTTTGTGTTTGCTTTCTGTTGGTGTCTGGCTCTTCTGAGCTGCTTTAGTGGGGTAAAAGTGTGTTTTACTTCATCTTTTAAGACTGTGTCAAAATTTAAATGGTATTTCAGTATATGGTATGGAAGAGGGCAAGTGTTAGATGGCCCCAGCTGAAGCTGTGGTGGGGCTGAGGGGCTGTTGCTCTCTGAATCTCCCCAGGTGTGCCTCAGTCTTCCAAACTCTTCCTCAATGAGGAGTTAGGAGGCAATAGTTGCTCTAACTTGGCTTTTTCCTGACCTTTTCAGGACTGAAATAATGGGTTTTGGATATTTTACATCAGCTTCTACCCTTGGTTGGGGTTTTCTCTGGTTGTGGAAGAGTGCAGAGGGTTTTGCTCTCTGCTAGGTCAGGTAATTGCTTTGGGAAGCTCCTTTATAAATAAGATTTTTGTCAAGTCTTTAAGCTTCTACAGTTCAGGCCTCAACTCATACTTGCAGTGTAGAATTGGGGTGTGTTGGGCAGGGAATGGGAGGCACAGAATTGCTCCTGCCTTAATTTCTCCAACCTGTGGCTTTTTATTGTGTCTGTGACTCTGGCTGGTGTCAGTGTTTGGGGTAGGAGCTCTGAGGTTCTGCTCCCTTTCCAGGTGGTGTTGCTGTATCCCTGCTTGGGGCACTTTTGTTAATTCAGGCTCCTCCTGGGGGATTGGGAGTTACAAACTGAAAACCTTGCAGGGAAAGGTGACTGAGCACTGTGATGTCATCATACCATGTGATGCTGAACCTCTCTACTGGCTTTTAATTTGGAAACACAGGAAGAAGAACAACCTTTTGAGGTTTAAATTCTGGGGGGAGGCTTTGGAGTTCACAGAAGCTGGTCAGGATTTGGATATTTCATTTAAATTCCATTCATATACTAAGGAATTGGAAGCGCCTAAAGGCACCTCCACTCACACTTTAATTTTAAGCCCTCTACCACCAATAAATTGAGATGTCCTTTTGTTAGGAACACCCCACCTCTGCTTCCTTAGGCAACTCCATGTGGGAGATAAAATAAATGTGGACAAAAGTTTGGAACGCAGCTTCCAAGTCAAGTTCCCTGCTAGGAAATGCCTCCAGCTCTCTGCTCTCTGTTCAAACACAGCCTGGCCCTTCAGGGCTGCAGACTCTGAGCCACACAACTTGTGAGCTGGCAAGTACCAGCAGCTGAGGTCTCATTCCAACAAAAACAGGGATTGGGGCTGCATTTGGATACATGCAGGCAGGTTTGGGTCACTTCAGAAAGCTTCAATCCCTGTTTTTCAGAGATTCCATCAGGGATAATGACCTTTCCACAAATACCTCCTAAGGCACATGAGAACCTGAGTAAGAAAATGGAATCAACCCCTTTGTTCCATTGGCCTCCCAGCCCAAATTCCAGTGGGACAGACCAGTCCCTCTCCTTGGAAGGCAGCATCTCCTACCTGGAGCTGGGCCTTCCCCAGCCTTTGGGGGCCGCTGTCTCCATCCTCCCACGCCTCCTCATCTTCCTCCTCGCCAGGGTTGGCTTCCTCAGCCTGCAGAGCAAAGCCAGGGACGGTCACCAGCCTGCTCATGCCAGCCTGGGCAGCAGGGACGGGCTGGTGGCACCCTCTAGATGTCCCCCTGTGCCTGGCACCGTCCCTGCTCCGCGCCCATCCCCGCTCCTGCCTGGGCAGCTCCTTGGAACGGGATGTGAAAGCACAAACGTTTGCTCTGCTGGGGCTGGGACAGCAGAGACTCCCCCGGGGCAGGGGGCAAAGCTCCTGCTCCCACATCCTCTGCCTCCCACAGCCCTGCTGGGGCTGGCCAGAGCAAAGGAAACGCCTCA